CCGTATCCATGCAAGGATTTCAACTGCAGAATAGGCAATGCAGACAAGTTCGCCCTGGTCTTCCAGTGATACCCCAACAATTGTCGATTTTGGGTACACCTGAATACCACAGCCTCGATTCACACTAGCAATAATGAAGGTAGCAAGTTTGTTAAGTAAACTGATCAAGATAAAGACCAGAATAAAGTCTAAACAGGCCATTGTCCTTTTGATAATGTTCTTTCTTATAACTATGTAAGATTATCTGTCGAAAGTCTAAACAGCACATTATACCATAACGGTGATAAACAAAAAATGTTCTCTGACTTATCATCTTTCTACACTTTAATGCGTTTACAGAGTGCGATTGCTTTCGTCTTTATATGCCTTAACATTGTCACTGACTGTATGAAGACATAATAAATGAATACGTAATATATATACAGTGCAATTTCAAGAAAGTGTGACTGTTCAAATCCCGCTTTTTGCTTGTTTTGCATGCTGAGTGAAATGTTTACGACTGTGCCACAAATCGATACTTATGATAGATAAGGAGGCAGGTTGTTTCTTCCCTACCTGTCACAGCATACCCTGTGTGAATGGATAGGACATTGCTGCAGACAGTTATTCTGATTAAGAAAAGAAAAATACTCTCCCACTAGATACCAGAACTCACACTCTCTGGGTGCTGTGGTAAAGAGCGTAACCACAACACGGCGGATGACGGTACCGCTGTCTGTGGCGAAGTGGTTGGGAGCTTAAACGTCACACAGAGGACTCAACTTCAATTCTTGCATAGGGACAATTGGTCGCTTTTAAGGACAAGCGGACGAACCCAGATTTCCAGAAATCTTGACCTACACCAAAGTGGGCATAGCCCTACCTATAGGATAAGTTTGATTTCATCAGTGTGCATATTTGTTTGGTTATAGAGATTAAAGAAACTGAATAAGGATCCAAAACCTTTAACTTAGTATTTTTGGGATATCCCCTGTGTGCTTAAAAGCGATCAGTTTTTGTCGAACATCGGCCTTTCAGCTGCGACGTTGAACACCCCACAGCCCGGATTGGCCCTGACAGGCAGGGTCAAAGCATGCCTCTAAATAATCTTATAGGGGGTGCCAACATACGCGATTGGGTCGGGTCGGGTAGGGCCGATCGGGTAGTCGGGGTAGTCGGGGCTAGCCAAATTGAGGGCGCAAAGCGGCCATCGTGGCACAAACCGATCGACTCGGTCGGTGACCTACAAAAACAAACGCGATTTTTTTCAGGCCTGCAAATCGCACGTTAGGGAGGTTTGCAGCCAATCACAACAAGGCAGAGTCATGTTGACCCATGAATATACTAAGTAGACTTACGGTACTCTGGGAATTCCAGGTTTCGGTCTCACACCTTTGACCGCCTTCTCACTTCTCACAGCGGTTTTGGAGCGCTCATAGGCCTAGAGGAAGAAGAAGACGAATAAGGAGGAGGAGGAGGAGGACTACTGTAACAGAGGGAGGGTTGTGAGAGTGACAGGGAGGGAGAGAGATAAGTTGACAGATATGTACATTTACATTGCTAGATCTAGGTTTCTGATGTAAAGGGAAGTGAGAAAGAGACAAAAAAGGAGAGAGACATTAAAGCAAGCAAGCAAGCACTCACGCACCCACGCACATACACACGCACACACACACACACACACACACACACACACACACACACACACACACACACACACACACACACATATATATATATATATATATATATATATATATATATATATATATATATATATATATATATATAGGGTGACAGAGAGAGCGAGTGAGGAAAGACCTAGAGTACCGAAAGCCTACCTTCTAAATGTATTCATGGATTCAGCCAATCGTGGCCCGGTTTACGCCCTCTGTTACACGGGTACAGCACGGGCTCGCGCTGGATTTAATACCTCGCCACTCCAACCAACGTTGAGCAATTCATATTGCGTAAAATTTAGATCCGTCGTTTAGCTGGCTAAAAAAACAAACAGGCAACGACCGTCACCGTTCCAGCGTAAATAACGGGAGGTGAAATGTTTTCGCCCTTCCCATGCCCGTTCATCGATGTCGGACTACTTGGGAACATGGCAGCTGAGATCTTGACAATTTTGTATTGTTTAAAAAAAGAGACGTTGTTACAATAGGTGAAGATATTGGGTTCATAAAATCCACCAAGAGTGACAGGGAGTGAGAGATAGTGACAGAGAGGGAGAGATAGTGACAGAGAGGGAGAGATAGTGACAGAGAGGGAGAGATAGTGACAGAGAGGGAGAGATAGTGACAGGGAGTGAGAGATAGTGACAGAGAGGGAGAGACAGGGAGTGAGAGATAGTGACAGAGAGGGAGAGACAGGGAGGGACAGGTAAACACAGGGAGATACAGAGATATATATAGAGATAGTGACAGATAGGGAGAGAGTGGATGAAAGAATGACAAGGAGTGACAGAGAGAAAGAGAGAGAGAGAGAGAGAGAGAGAGAGAGAGAGAGGGAGAGAGAGAGAAAGAGAGAGTGACAGTGACAGTGACAGACAGAGAGAGAGTGAGAGAGAGAGAGAGAGAGAAAGAGAGAGAGAGAGAGAGTGGGGGAGAGGGGAGAGGAGAGTGAGAGAGAGTGAAAGTAAGAGTGACTTGAAAGGTTGAGGGAGAGTAACATGAAAGAGAGAGAGAGATGCTGAGACAGAAAGAGAGACAGAGAGATCAGGTCAGTAATTACTACACTTTGCTATCAATTCCAAAGTCTTCTACTACTACTTAGCACATTTGGTCAATTAAAACCCTGTTTGAATAAATGTCGTTTCCTTTGTCCTATAAAACATGTCTATATCTGACAGTTTCTACCAACGCTTCATCATCTTGTTTTGTTGCTTCAAGAAAGAGTGACCGAATTTTAGTGCTGCACAAAAATGAAATCTTCTGCGAAACGACGGGTCTGCCACTGCTGAGTTTAAAAACAGTGCCGCTGCGGTCAGTGTAGTGCAATTCATAGTGCGTAAAATTTAGACACGTCGTTTCGCTAGAAAAACCAAACTGCAACGGAACGGCGACGGGCTCACTCTGTTTGCACTGGTTGTAGTCGTGTACTGAACGCAAAGGACGCGAGTTCTTTCAGCGCGTGGTGAAGTTGATTTGAACGAAAGCTCTGTTTTCTCCTGGGATGCTGTTTCAACCACACACTCCCCCTCTGCCCCCC